TGGATTTCAACTATTTATATTTGAGAAAGAAAAGTCTACAAAAGTCTTAAAATTAAAAAGTCTACAAAAGTTCATAACTTTTTAATACCACATGACTTTTAAAGACTCTTTAAAAGTCTTAATCGAATACCATACGAATTTTAAAGACTCTTTAAAAATCTTGATTAAATACCGTCTGACTTTTAAAGACTCTCTAAAAGTTTGAATTGAATACCTCCAAACTTTTAAAGTTCATAAAAGTCATTAAAACTCTATGAAAGTCATGATCGAATACACCCCCCTAAGAGTGATTAGGAAAGAGAAAATGGGAGGAGAGAGAAAAAAGTAAAAAAAAGAAAAAAACCAAAATTGAATTAAAAAAATTAAAAAAAAATTAACAGTGAAGTCAGGCGCGCCGACTGGCGCGTGCACTTTTGCAAGCTGTGCGCAGAACGCGCACAACGTTTCATTCTTTTATTATTTTTCTTTTTTATATTTCTGACATTATCTTGTAACTTGCATGAGAAATAACTTTGGAAATAACCCCATTCCACATCTATAAATAACCCCACCCAAGTTATTTCATCTGACATTAACCCCATATTATTTTCTAGTGTGGATGCTCTTAAAGCCATATGGCTTTAAGAAGCATGCATGCAACCCCAAAGTTCATAAGTTTGAAATTAATATATAGCATAACTATGTGGCTTAATATTTAAGATTGTTGATGTGCATATTGAGGACTACGGAGACAAAGATGCGTTATTCGTGAATTCATCGGATACTATCCAACAACACTCTCCAACTTAATTGACGTGAAATAGGCTTAGTAACATTAAGATTATATTCTCGAATTATTAGTTCTCATCTTTTATTGATTACACACTTAATTCGATAGTATTTGGAAGAAAAAAATCAATGTTCTAACTAAGATTGTGATTTTGGTCTTTAAAGGTCAATTGTATGTTGCTACGTCTAGAGTTAGAAATCTCAAAGGTCTAAAAATTTTGATCCGTGGTGACTCTAAAATTGTAATTCAATTACTATTGTAGTTTACTAAGTTCTTAAAAATTTATAATATTAAATACTATGTACTAAATTTTTAATATAGTTTAAGATTTGTAGTAATCACCCACCTTAAATATTATTTTAATTGTAAATATATTTATGTTCATAATTTTTTCATAGGAATTCACACATAATAATTATTAAATAACAAAAATTTTATATATGAATAAACCTCATATAGTGTATATTTTTATAACATATTTTCCGTGCATCGCACGGGACAAATACTAGTTTATATAATAGTGAAAGGAAAAATTACACTTTCTATCATTAAGATATGTATCTAGTATAAATATAGTTCATGACTTAAATATAATTAAAATTTTGACCATTATTATTCTCAAAGGTAACATTTTCTATTCTCATACTAACTAACAATTATAGTTATGTAGTAGCGAAAATTTAAAAAACATTAATGAAAAAAACTTCTTTACCATTGGTTTCAAGACATTATATTCACACATGTAAATTTTGAGAACGCTCCAAAACGAAAATTGTTAATATGAGGATCAAAATTGTCACTTTTGAAAACAATAAAGAGATAAATTTGTAGCTACATGTAATTTATGGACTATTTTTACATTTAACGTATAATTTAGTGACAAAAAAATATAAATTTCCATAAGTAAATACCTTGTTAAAGCCAAAGTAAACTTTAAACAATATATGTACAATTGCTATATTATGAACCAGGGTTTATATTGCATTGTGAACTTTGATTAAGAAAGTATATGTTTGCATTTGACACATTATGTACCTGTAGTTAACAATTTCTGTACATGTAAACAAATTGAAGGCACATACCATGATAACTATAGACACATAAATTGTTAACTGCAAATACAATAATATGTTAATTGTAAACACAATATTATGTGATTGTCGTTAACATATTCTGTACATGCAGTAAACAGTTTATGTATCTGTAGTTATCATGTTATTTGTACGTAATTACCATGTAATGTGCCTTCAATTTGTTTACATGTATAGAATGTGTCAACTACATGTACAAAATCTGAATGTTATTTTTAACCAAAGTTCACAATGCAATGTAGACCTGGTCCATAGTATAATTTGCCAATCCACAATCATTATTCGATAGATCATGGTCCATACATTTGTGTACACAAATAATATACTTTTAATATATTAAAAATGTATATTGTATTAATGGTCCATACAACTATGCAGATCATGGTCCACACAATAATTTGTCATATATGTAGTGGTAGGTTTTTTAGTTGAGAGGATCAGACAAACAACTATTGGTATGGGCTTTCCATTGATTGTCCAAAATACCTTTTGGGTTTGCAAAGCCCATTGGCGGCTGCAAAAGGCTAACATCATTAATAATTTTGGATCTATTTAGAAATTTAGAAAATATTCTTCAAAAAATAATTTTTAGAAAAATAATTTAATGTTTTAATGTTTGGACGAAGATTAAAAAAATTATATTTTTCTATTTGACTGAAAGTTAAGAAATTGTATTTTTTGTTAGGTTTCTTTTACCTGAAAATGAATATATTATGTGTTATAACAACAACAACAACAATAATAAGTGGTGGTGATGGTAGTGGTGGTGGTAATAGTGATGTGGTGGTGGTAGTTGTAATAATAATAATCCAGAAACTAACTTGAAAAGAGATGCGAGAGAAGATGAATACGAAAAAATAAAGAATCCAGAAAGTATCTTCTTGACGAAAAATCTAGAAAGACATTTTTCTTCTTTGACTATAATAAATATTTTTCTTTGACTTTATTTTTCTTGAATATCCAACCACGGAAAAATCCAGAAAATGACTTCTGAAAGTCATTTTCCGGGTTTTCTAACAGACCCTCAATGAAAAAATGTCACTTTTATCTTTGAATTGTTTTGCTTTTGAAATTTTAGTTCTTGTAAATTAAATGAAAAAGTTAGCCCCTTAATTGTTCAAAATGTTACACTTTTAGTCACTAATGTTATGTAATTGTCAAACTCCATTAACATATACGGTTATCTTTATCATTTAGAATCAATATTCACATGGAGAAAATGAAACTATAACCATGAATATTGATTCTAAATGAAAAAAATAACTTTGTAAAAAAGAGTTTGCGAATGGAGTTTAATAATTATATAACACTAGATTGAGACTGAAAGTGTAACATAATAATAATAATAAAAAAGCAATTAAATATGTTTAAAGCAATTAACATAAACTAAATTTTCAAAAGTATTTTTTTTTTGAATGCTGCTGGCTCTATTACAATATAGTATATGTTCATATACACAAAGAATCAATAATGCCTCCACTGAGGCTCAAACTCACAACCTTCCAAATAAAAGTCTAACCCAAATACCATTAGACAACATAGTCTTGGTTTGCAAAAGTGAAATAATTTAGGGATAAAAATGTTGTTTTCCCTAATTTAATATCCTCTCCCACTTAAATGTGCTTTAAAATATTTAAAAGAAAATATCACATTACTAATTTGTTTAAGTATTTCTTTTCATTCGAAAAGATGGAAGATGGAAAATTAGAAATGCGTTCTTTAAATTGAAACATTTTTTATTTTTTTTGAGAAATTTGAAAAAATATCTTTTCTATTAATTCTACATCTACTTAGGGATGGCAGGAGCGGGAGCAGGGAACGGGGTCCCCGCCCCTGTCGCCGAATTCATCCCCCGTTACCCCCATCCCCATGGGGATTTTTCGGTGACGGAGATTCCCTTCTCAATTTTATTTTTTAAAATTATACACTTTTCAATTTTAGTACACTATAAAATAATATTTTATTTAAATTATGTAATTAATTTATAATTTATATATTTAAATATTCAATTAGCCTAACATTCAATTATCTAAAAATACAACTAGCTTAGTACAAAATACTTAAAACATTAAACAATACTTAAATAATCAAATTATTCAAAACATAAATCTTTAACCAAAATTCCAAATATCCATACATAATAACTTGAAAAAAAAAAAGAATCAAAAGTCCAAATTAAATATTAGTTCAAATAAACATTACTATATTACATATAATTATATTTTGAAAAGAGCCTGTGCGGCATTTATTGGAAGTAAGTTGAAATAGAGTCTAGTGGGCCAGAGTCTGAATACATAGCAGCTGAGTAATTAAAAGCCGAAGTTGCTAAAGTGTGTGCTAAGTAATTATCTAATCTAGGAATAAAACTTAGTGAAACATAATCAAAGGAAACCATTCGGCTCCTGTAGCTATCAATCGCATAGCCAAGGTATGAGCGAGGTGTATCCTTCGCAAGTGATAAATATTGTTGAAGTGTCAAGCAGTCCGTTAAGAGGTCGACCGATCTCTCTCCACGATCCCATAGCCAAGATAAAACTTCTTTACATGCAAACGCTTCTGCCATAAGAGGGGAGAAGCAGTCTATCATCGGTGCCTGTAGAGCTGAGATATACAATCCCTGTTCGTCTAGGAGGATTGCTCCTACAGTCGCTTTACTCGTGTTGTGAAAATACGCCGCATCAAAGTAGCATCGGTTCCGCATGCCTCCATGGCTTACATATGAGGGGATGGCCGTGTGGCTTCCGGCGGCCACGGCAGTTGGCAGTTGGATTGGAATCCGAACAACAGCAGATTGGGCAGTAGCCCCTCGGGCTTGTTCGGTATTGGCTGTGGTAGTTCCTCGTTCGGCCGGCTGCGTGCGGTCCGGGTGTGCAAGTCGCCACGCCCGGATCGCTGTGGTTACAGTAGCAATCATCTTCCGTGGTCTGGGTAAGCATGCATCCCCTACAACCCCATTTCTCGCTCGCTATATATAATATAATAGGCCCACTGCATAAATAATTCCATCATCATCTAAAATATTCAATATTTCATTAAACCAAACATGAAAAATATCTGTGACACTGTTAGAGATTGGAAGGTGAGATTGTGCCCAAATGTTCATTGTATAATCACATCTGACCAAATAGTGCATAGTATCCTCATACTGTCATACATGATCCCACACATAGCACATGTTGGATCAATCTCCACTCTCTTTATAATCAAGTTCTTTGTAGTGGGCAATATATCATTCAAGGCTCTCCATAAAAATGTCTTCCATCTTGGGGGTATTTTGAGCTTCCATAATTTGGGCCATTTATCAAACATCCCTGTTGTTTGAACATAGTTCCCCACTATTCGCCTGTAACCACTTTTGACCGAGTATTTACCTGTTATGTCTTCATACCAATACCACACATCCTCATAATCCGGTGACACAAGTATTTTCAATATTTGTGTCACATCCGCTGGAATAAAAATATCAGTTAAAATGCCATGATCCCATGATCCCGTTTCCTGATCCATTAAGCCCATAACTGTTGTCTGCGCCAACTGTGGTGGTTTTTCAGTAATTATTTTCGCATTATTCTCATCCCGAAGCCATGGATGATCCCATATCAGGGTTGCCCTTCCATTCCCAATCCTGCGCCTAACTCCTCCACAAATTAGTTCCTGTGCAGCCATGATACTACGCCAACAGAAACTTGGGTTATTCCCTAAACAAGCATGAAAGAACGACCCTTTAGGATAATACCTGGATTTAAATATTCTTGACACCAACGACTCAGGTTTCGTTAGTAAACGCCAGGCCTGTTTCCCCAACATGGCTAAATTAAAGGCACACAATTCCTTAAAGCCCAAACCCCCATACTTCTTAGGGATACACAACTTATCCCACGCTTTCCAGTGGATGCCCTGGTCATCTTTAGATCTCCACCAGTAACGGTTCATAGTTCTCTCAATAGCTGTGCAAACATTCATAGGTAATAAAAAGACACTCATTGAAAAGGTGGGCATAGACTGTGCCACACTTTTCAATAAAATCTCCTTACCTGCTTGTGATAGCAATTTCTTATTCCATGACCCAATTCTTTGTTTAATTTTGTCCTCAATATATGAGAAAGCTGCTTTCCTATTCCTGCCCACAAATGATGGAAGCCCTAGATACTTCCCAAAATTTGGAGCCTGCACAACTCCCAAGATACTGGCAACCTCCTCCCTGTCCTCATCTCGTGTGTTCTTACTATAGCAAATACTTGATTTATAGTAATTCACTGCTTGCCCAGACATTTCCTCATACACTGATAAACACTGTTTAACCACTCCAGCCTCCTGGGCACTTGCTCTAAAGAAGAGTAAACTGTCATCTGCAAAGAATAAGTGGGATATAGGGGGGCTCCTCTAGCTACTCTGCAACCATGTAGTTCTCCCCTTGACTGGGCCTGTTGTAGCAATAATGAAAGTCCCTTAGCACAAATAATAAAGAGATAGGGTGATAGGGGGTCACCCTGCCTCAAACCTCGAGTTGGACTGATTTGTTCACTTCGTGTCCCACCAACCAATATACTATATGAGATTGAGGTTACACATAACATTATTAACTTCACCCACCTTTCATCAAATCCCAACGCTAGCATCATATTACGTAAAAAGGGTCATTCCATCCGATCATAGGCTTTCGCCGTGTCCAGTAAGCCCCCATCCTGTGATTTCACATTGCTTTCTGTTCAAAAAATGACCAACTTCGGCAGCAATCAAAATATTATCTGTTATTAATATGTCAAATATAAAAGCGCTCTGGGTGTCAGATATAATATCCCCCATCAGTGGCTTCATTCTGGCAGCTATGACCTTAGCCATAATCCTGTAGATCATATTGCTTAACGCTATCGGTCTATAGTCTGAGACCAATTCAGGGGTTTTCTTCTTGGGGATCAGGATTATGTTCGTATCATTTAGGCTAGCAGGAAACGAACGAGTATTAAGACAATTCACAGTATAGGTCGACACATCACCACCCACTACATCCCAGAAATGCTGGTAGAAACCCGGATTCATTCCATCCGGTCCTGGTGCTGTCAGGAAACATAGAAAATAGAGCATTCTTTACCTCAGTAACATCAAAGGGTCGCAAGAGCGTCTCATTCTGTACCTGTGTTACTCGAGAGCCTATATTTCCAAAGAACTCCCCATTATCATTAGGAGAACCGGAGCTGAAGATATTCCGGTAATAGTTCAAGATAATATTCCTCATGGCCTCTCCCTCAACCCAATCCCGACTATCATTCATAATTTTAACAATAGTATTCTTTTTCTTGCGATGAGATGCATATCTGTGATAAAATTTCGTGTTTGCATCCGCGTCCTTAAGCCAATGCTGCTTGGCCCTCTGCCTCCAGTATGCATCTTCCTGGGCTTCAATACGATTCAGGCACTCCTCTAATCGTTGAAATTCAGTCAATGACATTGGGTCATTACACCCCCTTAGACGTAACTGTTCCTTCCGTAGGTTCCTTATTCGGTCTCCAAACTTATGAAATCGATCTCCTCCCCAGCGCGTTAAACGATTTCCACAATAAGAAATACATTCCTGCTAAACTTATGTTATATGTATGGAATTGTATTACATATAATTATATAATATAATATAATATATATTTCGGAGATTCGGAGACGGGATTAGGGCGGGGTATAATTCCTGTCCCTAGCGGGAATGGGGAAACTCCCTCCATCCCTGCCACTATTCCCCGAAAAATTCTCCGTCCATGCCCGTTAGGGTGGGGATCGGATTTCTCTATCGGGTGACTTTGAGTTGACATTTTTACTTTCATTTTCTGCTCTCTATGATTATTATGCTTTGATTGCTTAATGAAAATGATGACTCATGATTTGTATTCATTTAATATAATTTAAACACTTGGTGAGTGTATAACTCCATAGAATACATCTACCATTTTCTTTTCTATTTTTACAAAATTTTCACATGTGGAGTACAGTACACTTTTTGGAGAAATGAACATGAAAACCCGTCGGAATAGGTAAAAAAGAAGAAAAAAAAAGTAGAAAAAGTGAAAACAATAGAAAAGTTTTCCAAGCATACAAGTTTGGTTGTTGTTTTTTGCATTAATTTTTTTAAAAAAAAGATGTACTGCTTTTGACCTTTTAAAAATATTTTAGGTTATTTTGCAGCTTTCCCTTATTAATTTATTTTCAATTGGAACCTTGTGTACTTCAACAATTCCTAACCAAACAGCATATGAAACAAAGCAGAATTGAATATGTAGGAAGAACCTTTGACCTTGAAGCCTGCCTGCACAAGTAATCATCACTACTTACTAAACAATAATTGTTTGATTTTTCTCTTTATTCATTTTGAAACCCAATTGTTGATTTAGACACAGCTTAGCTTGTTGATGACATCTTCTTTTGTTAATTTGATGCTATTTTATTCTTAGTTAGGAAGGTTCCAATTTTGACCATTCATTACAAATAATAACCATGTATTCTTTGAACTTTACTTACTAACTTATTAAGATTGCTATTTTATATACTTATCAAAAAGATTATATGGACGGATAGAGCATTCTCATCAAATTAGTTTTTCACGGTTTTTTATGATTCAATTAGGAGATAGAGAAGGGAGGGAAAAAAAAGAAGAAAAATAAAAAGGAACAAAAAAAAAAGAGAAAAGAAAAAGCAAATTGTCATAAAAAAAAAAAAAAAAAAAAAAAAAGGTAGGTAGTTAATGGGCCATCGGGCGCGTGCATTGTGCTGCTTGTGTGGCAGACGCGCGTCATTGCGCCTAACTTTGGTGTTTCTCTCTCCGGCGGGTCCCACAAAAAACCATACACTTGCAGGGAGACATTGGTCTTCTATCTTTTGCTTTCTCTCTTTTCTATATGACAAAAGAATCTTAAAAAATCGTGAAAAAACTACTGATGGTGATGCTCTTATGATATTATACATAAAAATGTTGTATTTCACCAAAAGGCACTAGCTCGAGTAAGATGGAATTGAGTCGTTTAAACATCAGACCTAATTGATGCTTGATTAAATTAGTCTTATTGTGAAAAAGTATTATGATGAATAGTTGTAAATAATAATGAAACATACATATATAGTCATTCACAAATTGTATGGATTACTACGATTTTAATTTCTTTTTTCGTTAATCGAACTTGATACTTAAAAGGAGAGTAAATTTTATAAGGATGGGTGAGACGAATTAGAATCATTACATATATGTTGCATGCACTTAACAAGTTTGTAATTAAGAACCAAATGTTATTGATAGGTATGCCATATGTGCATTATTTAATTTGTAGGTGACCCACAAGTCCAAAACCCTGAAGAAATCAGAAATTGAATTGCCCTAATTTACTCAATTCCCATCTACTGGTCTGCTTAATAATATACAAACTTGATGTCATTTCGTACCATTTAATTTATTTGTTCTAGTGGTGCATCCCTAGTCCCTACTTCTATCTATCTCTTTATGTGCTAAAACCCAACTAACCACTCTTTACAACCTACTTCACACTTCTTCTTCTTCTTCTTCTTTTTTTTTTTTTTTTTTTTTTTTTTTTTTTTTTTTTTTATGAAAATACAAATTTATTAAACAATCAAGCATGTGAAAGAAGATTAATAGGCTAATTTTGGATTATCTGATTAATTTTTTATTGGGTGCAATTTTTTAAACCTTAACTCATTAATTTATTGATTTTGTGTTAGATTGACATCCCTAATCCTCTAAAAGAGGTGAAGGAGAAAACCAACTTTAGACATCTTCATTTTGCATTTTGTCATATATATTTACTGGTTCAAATGTGGCACCTTGTTCTCGTGTGGCCATGTGAATTATATTATTAGGTATGCATAAATGTACTACAACTTGTTTAGAAATTAAATGTACTATGGTGAAATGCACAAATGCACCACAACATTGTGACATACAGTCATGTACCATTAGGTATACATAAATGCACCACAACATGTTCAGAAATGCACCAGGGTGAAATGCACAAATGCCGCATCACAAAAATGCGACATACTATACCCTGGTACATTTCTGAACACGTTGTGGCTCGCATTCTTGCATAGATAATGGTGAATGAACGCACGTCAGCACGGGAAGGTCTGTCCGCACAGAAAGCAGGCCATATATATATATATATATATATATATATATATATATATATACCTACATTGGTCATTTTTTTTTCATTCTTTCTTTTTCTGGTGGAATTACTTTATTACTATTTTAGTTGCTCCGATCCAATCCACGTCACTCTCTAATAAGGGAGTTCAAAAAACAAAAGAACTCTGGAAAGTACAGGCACAAAGCTTGGCTTCATAAAGGGAGATGACTAAAAATGATTGAAAGGTCGTCGTACGTTAATAATGGTTGACATATGTGGTGCTAAAAGTGTAGTGCCGCAGAGGCAACAAATTAAAGAGCAAAAACTATGATAGATCAAACTGTTATATATCCGCACGAGGGAAATTTCGAAAGAAAAAGATAACCTGGAAAAAGATCATCATCCATATTCTTTTTTTGTTTATTAATCATAAATGCACTTCGAATTCATGCATGGGACCAATCAAAAAGACGTGGAATGAGTGGGTGTGGAGCTTGGAAGGCATGCACAGGCAGGTTGGTGTGTGGTCGAGACCCGTACTTGGCGGAGGCAATGGCGGCAAAAGGAGGCGTTAACATGGTTGAAAGATCGGGCTCATGGCGATGTCATTGTGGAGACGGATAGTTTGAACTTGTACACTAGTTATAATTCTTTTAGTTCAGATTATTCTTATATTGGTTTAATTGTAAAGTAATGTTGTTTGATTGCTAGAAACATTGGAAACGTGTCTGTTCATCCTATCAAGAAGTCAACAAACCATGTGGTTCATGTGCTTGCTCGGCCAACTAATTCTTCGTCTGTCATTGGGTAGTGGGTTTCTGTCCCACTGACTTGTATCTCGAACATGGTATTACATTAATGAATTTTGGTTGGTTTGCTTTCATATTAAAAAAAAAAAGGTATTAAAGTTAAACGAGCCATCGTTGCAAATTAGTATAATGAAAATATAATGGGAGAAGTGTCAAATAGGCCATACACGATTGCCAAGTGCTCAATTTTCACCACGAACTAAATTAAGCTAAATTTGTTAAATTGACTTTTTTTTTTTTTTTTTTTTTTTTTTTTTTGCAGGTTGTTAACAGGTTACCAATCCAATTATTAAAAAAATAATTAAAAAATAATATAAAATTAGCAGAAAAAAAAAAACGGAATTTCAGCCGCAATCGGTTGTCCAGCGACTGCCGCCGGATAGTCACGACTGTCAATTTTTTTTCTCTTACTATATATATTATAATATGTGAAGTTGTGTTTACTTCAGTTCTAAAGTTTTTATTTATCTAATTTATTTTTTTAGTTTTCTATTCTCTATTCAGTATTTTTTTAATGTAAGAAATGTACAAGTAAAATACATTTTTTTCCCCTTTCTTTCTCCAATTTTTCATTTCTTTGGAAAAGTATATACTTTTTTTTATTAATTAATACGTGCACACTAAATTCCACTGACTTAGCTAAAGAAATGAAATAAAATCCTAGGTTGACAATTTACCAGACAAATTCATGTAAAGAATATAGAATTGGAATTGTACTTGCACGGCTATTGTTGTCAAAGCCTCAACATTTGGGCATAAAACAAAAAGAAAGAACACAAATTTAAGAAAAAAGAAAAAGAAATTTAAAACGCTTAATCCAACGCCTAAAAACATTCATAAGAATATAAGAGTGACACAACAGAGGGTTGCTTTGATTATAATGACGTTGTTGTCCTTTGTTTATGTTTGTAGTGAGTGCAATCCACCCATCCCAAGGTGTTGGAAAATCCGTGGCTTCATTTTAAGTGTTTTGTTTGTGGGGGAATAAAATGCAACTAATTAATGGAGTCATGATTAATGATTGCTTGATATAAAAATTATACAGTTTGTTTACCTTGTTGTGTGAGAAGAATCTTCAAATAAAATGGATTTAATATACTTTTTTTTTAAAAAAAACTTGATACTGACAAAGTAATGAGCCGTGGAAAGAGATCGAATTCGTGACGGTGGGTAACGAAGTAATAGAAGAAACATCAGGGACGATATGTTCAGAGAAACTGATAGAGCCGTCAATGGCTGCGGATTGAGCATCCATAGAAATAAAAAATCTAGACTACTAATACGGTAATACCAGATAAGAACTGTAAATTCTGAATTAATTAATCACAAAGGTTACAAAATATAACAATTAAATACACAGAGAAGAGTTACACTAGAATTGGGACTAATAGAGTCCTAATATATACTTGTTTTGTGCTAAACTTTGAAATTTATTTTTAAAATATTAACATTGTTAAAAACTTTTTAAATCTCTATCTACTAAAAAGTGATCAAACTTAAGATTTTCAATTACAAAGAAA